ACCCCCCCCGATGGATGGCCATGCCACAATCCCTTCTCCTCCATTCTCTTCTCGGTATTTTGGGCATACATATATGTACCTGGCATGGCTTTTAAGCCACTAGGTCCTTGACTCAAACTGTGTAGGGGTCCAGCAACGTAACCATTTCGCCATCTGCTAGTCCTTTTATTTGGAAAGGTTTTCCTCTACGTAAGAGTTTCCCAAAGATCATTTGAAGAAGAGGAGCAGAAAATCTTCCCTGCCCTTCCCTAGGTTTTTGTGATTTTCTAGAAGGTAAAAATGCCCAAACATAGGGAATGCATCAGCTGACCATGAGTTCTCAGCAGATGTTTCCAAGAGCTATCTTAGCAGGATGGAGCTGTACTTAGGATATTTGAGCACACCCTGTCTTTATGACCCTAGTGGCTGCTTTAAAGTTGAAGAATTGAGTCCCATTATCAACTTCATCTCAGTTCAGCTCCAGAGTAATTGAATTATTTTGCAGAAAGGAAAATGAAAAAGTTTTATCAGCAAGCTTTGTAGCAACTTTACCCAAAAAGGAAAACCAAATTCTCACTCACGCTGTTTTGTAAGAGATGGAACGAACTCTGGGAGTTTGACCTCAAAGATGTGTCATTGAGTAAAACAAAAAAGCCTGTTTCTGGAATCCAGGAATCTCGTGTAGCTCTGTATCAAACAGGAAACACTTCGGTCATCATTACTTACTAATTCATTTTTCCGATCATAAAATTAATATATGCTCTTTGGGAAACATTGGAAAATGCAGATGGAGAAACACAAGTGAACAAAAAGAATTATTAATTGCATCACAGGAGAAGAACGCTGCAAATGGTGGGTGTTCATTTTTTCCTGTAGATGTAATTATCATAGATATTTTTAAAAATTAAAAAAAAATTGCCAGAGGACATGTGTGCTTGCCAGCAAAAGAGAGAGAGAGAGAGAGAGAGAGAGAGAGAGAGAGAGAGAGAGAGAACCCTCCAATGGGGTGGGGTCACACCGCGATCCTCTCTTCTCCTTTTCTCTATCCTGCTGGGATTTGGGGCATGCATGCACACCTACCTGGTGTGTTTTCCGTCTGCCAGTTGTAGGACTCAAACTACATTGTTGGTAGGA